TTACGGCTAAGAACATGATGACAATAACAACACTACTTATTTTGAAGAATAAAAAACTGAATAGATAAAAATTTCCTGACGACATATAGCAAGATGGATCTAGTCCTGTCCTGGACCAGCCTCTGATGACCACCTTAGATGGTGGTGACGCCATTACCTTGTAGTGTGAGTCTGGAGGTCTCTGTCCCTCCTGGACCTCTCTGTGCCTAATTTTCCTCATCTGCTTCTAATTCTGTCACTCTTCCACTCTCATGTTGGTTTTGACTAAAGTAGGAAACTGGATATATTCAAATAAAGCATCTGCTCTATCTGGGAGATCACATATGTAAAAGAACTCTGAAAGTCTTAAGCATTACATAAACGCAAGAATAAAAAGGATAAAATAGAAAATCTAATGTGAACAATATACTGTGAGAATAAAAAGTAGAATTACATTTCAACTATAAATGCATACCAATTTTTCTTAGTCTTTTATTCTTCAATATCCTCTACAAAATATTTTAAGACTGCCTGGCTTCTGTAATTTAAATATGATAGAAAAACAAAACCTATTTCCTCTGAACTCATTTGATAGCAGCAGTCTAGAATTAAACTACTGATAGTTAACAGCCCCTGTCTTGAGCTCCTGCTGTGTCAGATGGAGTGGACAGAGGATGGCCTGTATGCATAAGTGGGTTTAGCGCTAAACTCTGGAGGACTGGCTCACTTCTCCCCTGAAAAACAGAATTAGCAAGAAGAGACTTAAAATAATCCTAAATCACAGCATAGAACTAAGTCCCACTCTACCTCAAAACTGTAGATATTAAAATATTATCTCTTCATTAAGTGCCTCTACAATAAGGATACTGGCTAACCGTAATATTTACACTTCTGGGGTTGTGTTTCATTTGTTTGTTTTGGTGAGCAGTGCCCAAGTCCTCTAACTTAGTTTGCTTCAATCACCTACTGGAGAAAAGAAGATACTGTCTTACTTAAAAACAAAGTACATTACGTTAAAACACATTTAAGCTGAAGATATATGGTATAAAGTGCTTTGTCAGCCAAATTCTCTGAAGTCTTAAGAGGAAGGGTCAATAATTTTGTATATCCACATATAGAGAAATGTGGTAAAATTTAAGCCTTTACTAGTGGCAAAACAATTTTTGAAATGCTTAAGATAGTTTGTGGTATTCACTCGTAGCTCTACCTGGGCACTCTGCTGAGTTTGTGAGAATGGGTTCTCAAAGAGATGGCCAACAGCAGTTTTTGAAAATTCAGTGAGATTGTTATGTAATATTAAAAATATATATATATATTTTTATCTGTCAAGTTCAAGTTCCAGAATTCCAATTTATTTATTTATTTATTTTGCTCAGACTACAAAAGCTGGGCTCATATAGTTATGCCATATGGACCTCTTTTTAAATTATGTTGTTAGCTGAAGTAGAGGGTTCTAGACTTTGCTCCTCTAATTTTTTATAGTAACTCTCCCTAAGTCTTTTTGATGATTAGGTTCATCAAAATGTGTATGGCTATGATCACTAAGTATTATGCTGCTTATTATTTTAATAACCTCTGTATTCTATGTGGCAAAACAAAAATGAAAAGTTTTACTTTATAAATTCCTGGCAAGCTTTCTGTTTTTCTTCAGTGCAAACATCCTGAAATAGCACAAAGTCATTCAGCTATTCAGAGGATGAAGTCAGTTTATGTAGTGCTTAAAGTAATCCTAGATATTCTGAAATGGAAATAGCCCATGTGAGAGTACAGTCTATTTTTGTCCTTAAGGGCAAGTGATCATCTTCAGTGAGTGAAGATTATTTTTATCTGAAAAGACAGATAAAATATTTTTAGCTTGTCTTACTGCTGAGTTGGAACAGGACCTGGTCTTTTACTGAGGCACATAACCACCTTGTCTTACAGTCTGTGGTAAGTAACTTTTAGGCATTCCTTCATCAATTGCAGCCTCCATCTCAACTGTTTCGAATCTCTCTACTTCTCCCTCAGTACCTGGACCAAAAACAGCTGCTGTAGAAATTTCTTGAAACATTTTCATTTGCTCAGATCCACAGGACTGTGAAATATGATCTGAAATCTGCTGCTGTTTAAGTCTGACAAAATCTTCCTCATTGACTGATGAAACTTGCTTTGGCCTTTCAAAATGTGAAATATCTTGACTGGTTTCATGCTGACTGCAGTTTTGCTTGAAATACTGTTGCCTGGGCAATACGCCATCACCACTGTCTACATTATCTACTAACTGTAGGTCTTCTGGCCGCTCCTCTGAATCTAACAAGGGCTGGGTGGACTCAGATCTTGAGAAGACTTGAACCGGTGGAACCTGGTGTCTGTAGCCGCTGTGTACCACAGTAGAATACTGGACAGTGCTCAAAGTGTTCTGTCCAGATTCATTTTCATCACCGCTAGAAATGCTTGGCCTAGAAGATGACATGCACGAAGACCCTCCAATACCACTGCTGTGTCCTTCAGTACTATTTTTTTCCTTCTTAAAGAGGTCCATTGATTTCAAATCTTCTGGAAAAGGTTTTTTGTCATTTACTTCTATTTCCACAACACTTACATCAGTGAAATTGCCATCTGAATACATTTGATCTTTTGAATTAAAATTATGCTAAGAAAGAGAGAAAATGGATTATTACCTAAAGCATATGTTCATGCCATTTTAGAAACACTTAAGAGATATATATGGCAAATAATCAGTTAAAGCCACAGAGCTAATGCATCTCTGAAACTTCTCAGTAACCTTCAATGGTGCAGATATAATTTATACTACGTCACTAAATCACTGTCATCTACCGGAATTGCAGACATTGTGAAATCAATCTAAGAAGTATGAATCAGGTTGTATTTCCTCAGAACTTCCAAATAATATTTTGATAAACTAATGTCTACAAATAGTTTTTCAAAAATAGAAAATCATTAAACAGTCTAGTATTAATTGGATAGAAAAATATAAAATACATTAAGAAAAACCAAACTTGAATGACGGGTTTTGTAGCAATATAAAAGTACACATTTTAATCTGTTAATGCAATTCAATGATCATTTTGTCATCATTTCCCCCTTTAACATATATTTTAAGTTCAAAGAATTCAGTTTAGGTTTCCTGAAATCATTTTGTATTGGTATTAAAATGGTAGACTATTAAACTTGGTTTTAAAATTCACTCCAAAATACTTCCTTATTATCACAAAGTAGTTTTAGCACTTAAAGTTTTCAATTTTTAAGGTCAACCAAATATTTTTAATGTTTACTGAATAGAATTAGGAATATCAGAACAGATATGCTATGATGATAATAAACCCCTAGAATGTATAGGTATTCTTTTAAATTCTGATTGAAATTCTCATTTGCATACTTTTCTGTTTTCATTTCCTTCTCAATTCAGACTGACAATCTTTCGGGTGAACTATACACACGCACCTAATACACTTATATATTATGAATAATTCTGAAGCATTTTATCTTACCCTTAGAGGTGTGTGAGGTGACCACTGAGCAATATGACTCTTTGAAGGATCTGGAACATTAGGCCAGATATGTTTTTTAATCCTGGAGAGAAAAGGAATATGGCATGTGTAGAACCACATGTAATAAACAATGCAGAGTCTGTTTCTAAATACGTTCACCTAAGAATCTTAAGAATCACACAAATTAATCAAATAAATAAAAATACCTATTGTACCTCAAAGCAAACAAAAAATTACTTTTCTTGTATCCAGTAGAAAAAATGCATAAGGATCTTAATTCATTCATAAAGAAAAACTGTTAACAAGGCTAAAGCTAACAGTATTCAATTAAAAAAAAAATCTCTGAAATCAAATCCTGTAAGAAAAACCACTTTAAGAACCTTAGCCAGACCACAAAATGTATGGCTACACCCCCATCCAACAAAAACAAATAAAAAAAGTTCAATTTCCAGTGAAAAGAATCTAGACAGCAAAATAAGTTTTAACACTGATACAAAATAAAATGTAATAAATTTGATTTTGTATAAGGAAGAAAGACAAATAATAGTAAACATATGCAAATCACTCGGGATATCCATATCATCAAAAACTTATCTAAGGTTCTACTCTGTCATATGGGGTCGTTATGAGCTGAAATTGACTGGACAACACCCAACAACAACTGCAAAGATGGACACATGACATTATGCCTTTGTCAAAACCCACAGGATGGTACAACACAAAGAATGAACCCTAATGGAAACTATGGACTTTAGTTAATAATAACGTGTAAATACTGGTTCATCAGTTGTAATTAATGTACCACACAAATGCACGATGTCAGAAAGAAGAGAAACAGCATGCTGGGGGCAGGCGTGGGGGTGGAGGGGGTGGTAAATGGGAACTCTCTGGTACTCTGCACAATTTTTCTGTAAACCTAAAATTGCTCTAGAAAACAGAGTGTATTTGAAACAAAAACAAAAACAAAAACCTTATTTAAATATGTTTACTTTAATGTGGTTCCTAGCCCAAAGTTAGAAGTCCTAAATGTATAATAAGCGAATCATTTTGAGAATGTTAAGGGCAAATTTAAAGTTAAATAAAAAATAAAAACGAGTAACGAGAACTTGTGCTTCTCGTAATGACAGAGTAAGTTCCTAGCAGACTGACTCTCCGGCAGAAAACAACTATAAAATCTAGACATAATATAAAAAACAATAGTTTTTATAACCTAGATAAAATGGATAAATTCCTTGAAAGACATAAATCACCAAAACAGACTGAAGAAGAAAAAGAAAACTTTGATAGCCCTATATTTATAAAGAAATTGAATTTTTAATTAAAAACTTTCCCACAAAGAAAACTCCAGGCTGAAATGGCTTTACTTGTGAATTCTATCAAACATTTAAAGATGAAATAACACTGATATTACACAAAACTATTTCAGAAAATAGAGGAGGCAACATGTCAATATTCATTTTATGAGGCCAATATAACACTGATTCCAAAACTGGAAAAAGACATCACTCAAAAAGGACAAGCTAGTATCACTGATGAACATAGACACAAAAATCATTAACAAATACGAATACAATGAATCCAGCAATATCCCAGGAATGTAAGGATGGTTTAACATGTGAAAAAAAAAAAATCAATGAAATTCACCATATTCATGGAATAAAGGAGAAAAAAAAAATATGATCATCTCAACAGATGTCAAAAAAGTATTTGACAAAATTCAACACCCATTCACGATAAAAAGCTCTCAACAAAACAGAAATATAACTTTCTCAAGCTACAGCTAACATCTACAGATAACATCATATGTAACAGTGAAAGACTGCTTTCTTCCTAAAATCAGAAACAAGGCAAAGATGTCAGCTTTCACCACTTCTTTTCAACACTGTACTGAACTGGAAGTCCTAGCCAGTGCAATAAGAAAAGCATAAAAATTTGAACTAAAGGCAAAAAAGAACTAAAAAGTATAAAGACTGAAACAACCGTTTTTACTTGCAGGCAGCATAAACATGTATGTAGAAAACCTAAGGAATCCAAAAAAGTTACTATTATTAGTAAGTGAAATTAACAAGGTCTCAGGATACAAGATCAATACATTAAAAAGATCAATTGCATTGCTGTATACTAACAATGAGAATTAGAAAATAAAATTTAAAAACATCACTTATAATAATTAAAAAAAAAAAAAAAAAACCAAACTGGTTGTTGTTGAGTTGATTCCAACTCATAGTGACCCTTTAAGACAGAGCAGAACTGCTCCATAGGGTTTCCAAGCAGCAGCTGGTGGGTTTGAACTGCTGACCTTTTGGTTAGCAGCCAAGCTCTTAACCACTGTGTCACCAGGGATCCCCATTCATAGTAGCATTGAAAAATACTTAGGAATAAGTTAAACAAAAGATGTGCAAGCCCAGTCCACCGAAAAGTAAAAACCACTGTGAAAAGAAATTAAACATTTTTGTGTTTCTAAAGTCACAGTTAAAAAACCAAAAAGGTAAGCTACAGACTGGGAGAAAAATTTGAAAAATATTTGACAAAAATTTTGTAATCAGAACATATAAAGAATGCTTACAGCTCAGTATTAACAAGACAACCCAATTTAAAAATGGGCAAAAGATTTCAATAGACACTTCACAAAAGAAGATATGTAAGTAGCACATGAAAAGATGTGCTTAATTGTGCTCATGAGGAAGCTGTACATAGATTAAGCGGCAGTCGTTCAAACAGAACAATGGGATACTGCGTGATTTAAAGTCAGGAAAGGTATGCGTCAGGGTTGTATCCTTTCACCGTATCTATTCAATCGTATGCTGAGCAAATAATCTGAGAAACTGGACTATATGAACAAGAACGGGGCATCAGGATTGGAGGAAGACTCACTAACAACCTGCAATACGCAGATGACACAACTTTGCTTTCTGAAAGTGAAGAGGACTTAAAGCACTTACTGATGAAGATCAAAGACCATAGCCTTCAGTATGGATTACATCTCAACATAAAGAAAACAAAAATCCCCACGACTGGACCAATAAGCAACATCATCAAAAACAGAGAAAAGACTGACGTTTTCAAGGATTTCATTTTACTCGGATCCACAATCAACACTCATGAAAGCAGCAGTCAAGAAATCAAAAGACTCATTGCATGGGGCAAATCTGCTGCAAAAGAACCCTTTAAAGTGTTGAAAAGCAAAGATGTCACCTTGAAGACTAAGGTGTGCCTGACCCAAGCCCTGGTGTTTTCAACTGCCTCATATGCATGTGAAAGCTGGACGTTGAATATGGAAGACCAAAGAATTGACGCCTTTGAATTGTGGTGCTGGAGAAGAATATTGAATATACCACAGTCTGCCAAAAGAACAAATCTGTCTTGGAAGATGTACAACCAGAATGCTCCTTAGAAGCAAGAGTGGCAAGACTATGTCTCACATATTTTGGAAGCGTTATCAGGAAGGATCAGTCCCTGGAGAAAGACATCATGCTTGCTAAAGTGAGAGGAAGACCCTTAACAAGAAGGACTGACACAGTGGCTGCAACAATGAGCTTAAGCATAACCACGATTGTGAGAATGGTGCAGGACCGGGCAGTGTTTTATTCTGTTGTGCATAGGGTTGCTACGAATTGGAATCAACTTGACAGCACCTAACAACAGTAACACATGAAAAGATCCCTTTCACTAGTTATCAGGGAAATGCAAATTTAAACCACAATAAGAGAGCACTACACATCAGCTAAAAAGTGGATATATGCAATTCTCATACATTGCTGGTGGGAATGCAAAATGGTCAAGCCATTTTGAGCAACAGTATGGCAGTATCTTAATAAGTTAAACATATACTTAACATACACTTAATACCTAGGAGGAGAAATCTCACTACTACGTATTTATGCAAGATAAATGAAAACATATGATCAAACCAAGATTGGTACGTTAATATTCACAGCAGCATTACTCATAAAAACCACAATTTAGAGACAAGCTAAACTTCTATCAACAGATAAACAAATTTTGATATACCTGTACTGTGAACTACTACTCAGCAATAAAAAGGAGAAAATATTAGTATATACAACAATATAGATATTCAAAAACGTTATGCTAGATGAAAGATTTTTAATTCCATTTATATGAAATTATAGGAAAAGAAAAACTATAGTTACAGTAGTCAGATCACTGATTGACTGGAGCAAACATCTGTATACAATTACCAAAATTCATGAAATTACACACTTAAAATGGATGAATTTTATTACATGTAAATTATACCTCAATAAAGCTGAAAAAACACAAATATATGAATAAGAGTACTTACAGGTCTCGCTTATTAAAGCAGAATAATACTCCCAAAAGAGTTGTCAATAGGAATGCTAAGCAAACAGGCACAACTATGGCTTCAATTTCTCCTTGAGCTAAAAAACAGAAAGCGGTGAGATAAGAAATAATTGTTGACACATACGCTAAAGAGAAATAATACAACTTCCCTACCAGATTACTACAGAAAAGATGAAATGCCATCTTTTTTTCTCCCCCCTCCCCTCTCTTCTTGGTAAACCTCATCCTAGCCATTTATGCCTTACACAGTCGCTACCTACATAGTAAGCATAAAATAAATGTTGGTTGGGAGAATAAAATTAGTTCTGCTTACTGGAGAGATAATCTAACTGGTAATTTAGAGCTTCCAAACCTAACCATTGATTACACCTATGATGTGTACTCAGTGGAATCTTAGCAAAAGCTTATCTCTGAGTTCTAACACTCACTAATTGACAAAACTGTATCAGAACAAATGAGAACCAGGCATAACTGGAAAAGCTGTGAAACAATCTTTTTTTTTTTTTTTAATTTTATTTATTTCCTTGTCGTTGAGAATATACACAGCAAAACATACACCAATAGTTTCTACATTTACAATTCACTGATATTGATTACATGCTCTGAGTTGTGCAACCATTCTCACTCTCTTTTTCTGAGCAGTTTCTCCTCCATTAACTCACTGCCCCCTAAGGTTCCTATCTTATCTTCTGAGTTGCTGTTGTCAATTTGATCCCATATAGATAGATCTTGAAAGAGCACAATGCTAAAGGCAGACATTCTTTACTAGTTAAGCTAAACTATTGTTTGGTTTTAAGAAGACTTCAGGGATATTTTTGGTTTAATGTTTAAAGATCATCTCAGGGCAATAGTTTCAGGAGTTCATCCAGTGTCCATAAAGTCTGGAGTCCGTGAAAATTTGGAATTCTGTTCTGCGTTTTTCCCCTTTCAATCAGGATTCTGCTATAGAATCTTTGGTCAAAATGTTCAGTAATGGTAGCTGGGTACCATCCAGTTCTGGTCTCAAGGCAAAGGCGGCAGTTATTCATGGAGGCAATTAACTACACATTCTATATCCTCCTCCTGTTCCTGACTCTCCTTCTTCTGTTGCTCCAGGTGAATAGAGACCAATTGCCTAGTTCAAGAAAAAAAAAAAAAGGAAAAGAAGACAGATCAAATTTCACTATTCCTTACCAAACTTTGGAGTAGTAAAAGTGAAATCAGGACCGTACATTCCACCTTCATCTGTGTATGCTGCCATTCGTACCATGTACAACGTGTCACTAGTCAAAGAGGACAGCGTATATTCTGTGTGGGAAGAATCCACATTCACGGCTGGAAGAAATCAGTAAGTGGGCTTTAGTCGACCACTCAATGTTTTGCTTTATCTGGACTATATTTAGAATTATACAAGTATTAAAAAGGAATAAAAATATTTTACCAAAAACCAACTTTCACAGCCCTAAAATAATGTTTTTCTCTTATAAGCATGAAACAATATTTCTTTAGTAGGACTATGAAAGCAATCATAAGGCATATTCTCAGGCGACTCTTTTCTGAGGATAATATACTAAGAAGCATAACATAAAAAGGAGAGATTTAAACTAGTATTTACAAGTTTGAAAAAAAATCTGACTCTGAATAACTGATACGGTTTTATTACCGGTTTCATTTCCAAAAGCAGTTTTATAAAGTATAGTATAATTTCTGATAAATCCATTTTGAACATCAACAGGGAGTTGGTCCCACTCTAAGACAGCTTCATTCTTCCCCACTTTTTTTGTCCGAACAGTAGGTCCTTTTGAAGGTGCTGTAACAGAATAAATGTATTTGCTAACTGAAAATCGTCAGAATTTAGTAAATCATTAGATTTAAGTAAAATTTCCTCATCATAAAATTACTGAACATAATAATAATACATATCCTTATGTAAAACTGATAAAATGTCTTTGTTAACAGAAAATGCTTAACATTTTTCAAACACAGTAAGTTTGGACTTACCAGCTTGTTTAAGGTATGCTCTTACAGACTCAGGGCTTCCTGGTCCATCAGCATATACTGGAGTAACTGTTATCAAATAGCATTTGCTCTCCATTAGGTTGCCTAAAGTAAGAATAGTAGATTAAGCATTTTTTTCTATAATGAAAAAGTCATATTTGTTCCATTACTGATTTTTATAATTTCCTGACCATAATTTTTCTTTCTACTATAACAGCAGTTTTCTAAGTAAGCATTGCCTTTTTTGTACTGGATTCAAACTCAATGGAGTAAAACTGTTTATAAAATTATAAATAAAACTAACAGGTTACTTTTACTGCCAATACAGTGAATAAAAGAAAAATATATATAATTAATACAAGTAATTACTGCAATTATAGTCACGGTTTACATTCATCAGGTTATAAAACACTGATCTCAAAATTATCCTGGGCCTTATAACTTTTTGTGTATCTTACCTGATTATCTGGGAATTGCTTAATAAGCAAGTTGCCACTAATAAGACCTAGGAAAAGCACTCATGGCCCTGATTTGTAAGGTAACTGGGGAAAAAAAAAATTAGTGCTATTTCCCCCAGAAAGGCGGGAGGGTAGCACTGGAAAACTACCACTTGTCTGTCAGTTTGTCATACTGGGGTGGCTTATGTGTTGCTGTGATCCTGGAAGCTATGCCACGGGTATTTCAATACCAGCAGGGTCACCAATGGTCACAGCAACGATTGTGAGGATGGCACAGAACAGGGCAACACTTCATTTTGTTGTACATGGGGTTGCTATGAATCGGAGTTGACTTGACAGCACCAAACAACAACCACCCCCTAAAAAAATCATCAAAATATCTGTAATTCCTCCGAATTAATCTATCCTTTCAGCATACAACAGCAAAATATTCCTTCTTTTTATACATTTTATTTATCTGTCTGTATCAGAAAGGAGCCCTAGTGGCACAGTGGTTAAAGCATTCAGTTGCGAACCAAAAGGTCAGTGGTTTGAACCCACCAGCAATTCTGCAGGAGAAAGATGTGGCAGTCTGCTCCCTTAAAGGTTTACAGCCTTGGAAACCCTATGGGGCACTTCCATTCTGTCGTATAGGGCTGTTACGAGTCGGAATCGACTCAGTGCAGTGGGTTTGGTTTTGGTTTGGTCTACATCAGGAAATAAGGTGAAAATAAACACCATACTAATGTTTATACAGTAAAACCTGTGAGAACCAGAACTCTACAAGACTGCCTTGTTATTCCTGGTGTTGCATGTTTTCCACCTTTGATAGGGTGCAGTCGTATCACTTTTCTATTGCTTGTTTTAGTGGAAAATATTTGAGTTTTCCTTCTCTGACAGACTTCCGCCTTCCACAGTTTCCAGTTTTCACAGGTTTTACTGTACCTTCAACAAAAACTCACTTTTCCGTAACCATTATTCATGGTTATATGTGCCTTTGTATTCTTCAACAGAGTAATTTTACCTTCTCTTGATTATTTACTATCATAAGGATGAGAAATTTTTATATTCTGCTGTAAAAATGATGCTATCAGGGCTACTGAGGTACATGGGGTCACCTGCCCCAACCTTAATGTCTCCAGAACTTATATTATGCTTTTTAAAAAACATTGGCTTTGCCAAACATTTAATTTGGTAAGGCTGTGAAACTAGACAACCAAGCTTATTAAAATTGCATATTAAATAATAGGTTAATGAGGGTCACACGGTCTCTTTTATGAATAAAGCTCACAAACTTTACGGCAGGTATGTCTCTCCTTAGAAGTTTTTTTTCTGAGTAATCGTATTATTCACAGCTGAATTCTTATGTCATTATTTCTCGTTATTAAAAAAGCATACAAGTTGATTGTTTCTGTTTCCTCTTTAAAGTTGTTAATATCATTTTGAAAGCCACTTAATAAGTAGTACCTTAAAACACAGAGCAATCCGCTTTGGGGCTCTATAACATCATTGCAGCCCTGGTGGTGCAGTGGTTAAGAGCCTGGCTGCTAACCAAAACGTCAGGTTTCAACCCACCAGCCACTCCTTGGAAAGCCTATGTGGCAGCTGTTCTACTCTGTCCTACAGGGTTGCTATGAGTTGGAACTGACATCATTACTTTCTGTCCTAGCACTTCCAGTTAAAAGACTTAAGGAAGTCTGAGCTCTAGTTCTGCTTCCCCTATTCAATAGCTATAAGAAGTTAAACAAGTCATTCAGGGACTCTAGGAAAATATTTTCTCACCTGAAGAATGAGAAAGCTAAATCAGATACAAAGACATACAACTAGTTAGCGACAGAAGCTGGACGATCTTTTATTTCTCTATTACTTTACAGTTTGTGAGCATTCCTTTGAAGATCAAAACAATATTTAAGTATAAAATGAAGATGGCATTAGCCCCATTATATCCATGAAGAGACCCTGCAGTTCAGCAAGGTTAAGTGTGACTTGCTGAGAATCATACATCTAATAACTAACTAGAGGTGCTATGATAAATTGAAGTCTTTTCAATGGACCACAATATCTACAAACCAGAAAAGGATACGTAAAAGAAAAATCTCCCTAAACAGAAAAACGATATCAACTTAATGCTTTTAGCTAGGTTTACCTCTTAAATAGGTGAGATGTACAGTACCATCTTCTTGTTGCCAGTCTGGGATACAGGGTGATTTATCTGATAACACACACCACTCAAGTATGTATTTATTTACAGATTCAGTAGGAGCAGTCCATTCTACCCAAAGCTTATTATCTTTGGGGAATGCTTTAAGATCCATTACAGGGTGAGCAGCTTTAAAAAAAGTTTAAAAAATAGTAATAAACATTTAAAAATCTGAAATTTTGACATTTTATAGTCATTTTCATAACCATGTGACTGATCTTGCTATCAATTTTTATAACATATAATATTAATATGTATGTCCATGAATGAAAATATTATAATTTTCATATAAGAAAGGCAGTTAATTTATTTCCACTATTTATTCCTGTTGTCTCAAAATTCTCCAAATGTTTTGTGTACGTAAGTCTGTAATTGCAAACTTTTCTTCTTTAAAAGCTACAGAATAAACAATATATTTAAGTCATGTGAATATAAAGTTCTCAAAACTTCTATATTTTTTAAAAACCAGATAAGTAATCAGAAAACTGCTAAAAGGAATTAAGCATCTTACTGCAAGATTTAAGTGAGCCACATAGTGATGGAACAGATTATTTGGCTGCTAACTGATTTCCGAAAATATGATTATCTCTGATGCTGAGGAACAGTCTTAGACTACTCGTTTTTTTTGCTGGAGCCCTGCCTATTCCTAAGTACCCTCATTCCACCACTGAGCCAGGCTCCCTCACAGACACAAACCTCGGAAGTCACAGGCAGGGATAGTTAAAACAGATGCATCCGATCTGCCAACCAGATTTCTTGCTGTCAGAGTTGCTATATAGCGATCATTTGTGAGGTTTACTGTCAGTTTTGTGTCATTAACTCTGTAATTTTGAAAGTGAGATTTCCATCTTGTAAGAGTCACTTCATAATCCAAGATTTTTCCATTGGCTTCAAAAGGAGGCAATGTCTGTAATAAAACAGCTTATTTTAAAAAATTATTTCATTAATCTTGAATAAAGTTAACTAGTTTTTCTTTGTTTTTTCACTAAGAATTGTCACCAACTGTGTCAAATCTCTAGGTATTTAATTGGAAGGGACTGGCAACTTCATTTTGAACTGGGTACTAAAGTAAAAGTACTACATACTGATCAGCTGAAAGAGGGGAAGGAATATCATTCTGGTAGCGTTTAGTTCTTATGTGTTATATATGATTCTGCACTGTGGCTATGTGTACCTAAATTATTTTATATCTTTATTGAGTATTTCTCTCTACCTTCTTAGTATGATCTACTTATAACACATGTATGAAGTTATGTAACAATTTTATATTTCCTATTATCAGCACACATTTTGTTCTTTATGTCTAAAAGAGTGATTACCCAAAACTTCTTTTCTATGAGGCACTCTGGAAAAATCAGTAAAGTACAAAAAACATATTTCTTACACAACTTACACTTTCCTAAAACTGCTGAAATACCTATGAGGTATTACCTATAGTTTATGAACCTGATTTCTATATAGTATATATAAAGGTTTGTGCTTCTATTTAATTAATAAACATAGTTAACAAGAGCTTTGCTGATACTAAAATGAATAAAAATTTAAGTTTTTGGGGAAAAAAAAGACTCCACTCATAATACCATAAACAAAGGTATTATAAAAGAATATAAACATATAATTTTTTCCTTACCTTCCATATGAGTTTTACAGGTCTATAGCCATGAGTATGGGATGGATCTATCTTGTACCAGAAACTTGGTTCCTTGGATGGTCCTAACAAGAAAAAAAGAAAAAAACTTTTTGAAATAAAATTTTTTAACAGTAAAATAAATTCCTATAAGTTATTCTCTTACTATTCTTGCCTTTCAATTGCAGTGGTATCTCTAACTCTTTATATCAGCATTTTCCCATCCCAGCATGTTATGCCTGGGTCTTCCTTTAGTCAGGATAATAGTTTGATGGTTTACATTGTATTAGAACTCTTTCCTAACCTCAAAATTCATAAACGTACAAATATATCCTAAGCAATAACCACAATATGCATCATTTCCTTGGGCTAAAAAATCAAATTGACAAATCATTTAAATAAATGCTGAAAGCCCCCAAATATATATAATATGTGAGAATATAAAACAAATTAAGATAAATGCAGTAAATACTTAAGTTTATTGCTTTATATTGGGATGCTTGAGGACAGAAAACCAAATCCACTGCAGTCGAGTCAATTCCGATCATAGTGACCCTACAGAATACAACAGAAGTGCCCCACAGGGTTTCCAAGGCTGTAAGTCTTTATGGGAGCAGACTGCCACATCTTTCTCCCACAGAGCAGCAGGTGGGTTCGAACTGCTGACTTTTCAGTTAGAACCAAGGGATAATAGAATATAACTAACCCTAACTCACAGAACTGTAGAAGTGAAGACTGTTGATATGTCAAATATGTTGTTACATATATATTTACCACAATCACAAAAAAAGAAACTCACAGGATTGTTGTGATAATCACCAACCACATGAAAAAGCAAATACTAGTAAATAGGTTTCTTAAATTCCTGTAGTATCCACTGATTTTTCAAAATTTTTATAAACATAATTACAAGATATTTAATAGAAGAAAAAAGAATTTTAACGAAACTTAAGCAGTGTTGTGCTGATCATGAAGAGGCAATTATAGATGCGAAAACAGAGGATGCAGGAAAAGCAGACCAGAAGGTTGGTACAGAAGTTCAAACAGATAAAGAGATAATGAAGTGCCATAAAATAAAGAATAAAGTGCAACACCCAAAAGACCATAACATTATAAAGCAACTTTATGGGCCAGAAATATTTCCTAACATAGCAGAGAACCTAGAGGGGCTTCATTCTCTAAGCTGAAGAAATGCCTAGCCCAATACAGCCTTTTGGGCTCCAGAGTTCTCTATCATTGGAAAAAGATTATGTACTCCTCCCCACAAAAATGCACACAGGCACTAAGCACAGTATTTTGCCTGCATTTAAAGTGTTTCCCGAGTTCCCCCAAACTGACCTATATGCCTCTAAAGGGCCTAAGAACCCCAGTTTAAGAACTCCTGGTGAAGACAAAAGGAATCTGAAAGAGGAGCCCAGAACAGCAGTAGCATTTATGAGAGTGGGAGAAAATTCTCAGGGGAGAAGGGCACTTTTCTGCCTTTGATGTTTATCAATTCACGTAACACTTTAAGAATGACTACATCATTATATAGCTATCAAATTATATCATTATATAACTGTCAAATTACATCATTACAAAATTGCCAAACCACTGAGAATCACAGCCCAGCCAAGGTGACACATAACCTTAAACATCACAGCCAGCATTACTCGTCTCACACCTTGGCGTTCGTTACTGCCAGACTTACGCTACAACATATGAGCAAAACAGTTGAGATAGTAGATTTTTTACTATTGTTGTAAATGTAAAATGTTGGATAACGAAATAGTCGATAAGTGAGGAGTAGGGGTGTGTGTGTGTGTGTGTGTGTGTGTGTGTGTGTGTGTGTGTGTGAGAATAAATGTCTTTTTGATAGTGAGGGTCTAAGGTATATTTTGCTACATAATATGATTATGTTTCAGGATATAATTCTCTGGTTAAGGATAATCTCTAAGCCCTTTCCTTTTATAAAGTGTTCTGGACTTACCAAACTTTAAGTAATTCAATGGTATTCTGATAGTATATAAGACACCATGATAATTTTCTTGAATTAACTATCAAATAGATTTATACTACCAATAATGCATGTTATATTTTATATCCTGACGTCTGCCCTTAAAAGTGAAAATGTGTAAGTTTAAATAAAATGATAAAAAAATAAGAAGCAACGTGGTATACTCTAAACTCAGTATTATTAAAACCAAACACAAATAATTCACAGCTAGCAATTCCAAAGACTTTATTTCTTCATATACTTAATTTACTTACTAGCTTCATATGTGATCCCACTTGCTTCTTCACTCCAGTCACTCCAGAATCCCTTACCATCTTCCTTCATACAACGAATCCTAAATACATATTCTGTAAAAGGTTTAAGGTCCTGGACAGTGAATGAAGACCGGGTAGATGATGTATCTTCAGGAGGAATCTGAACCAAATCAACCAACACAGGCTTTATATTAAATCAATTTAATAAAATAAAACTAATAAATTAATCTCAAGCTCTGGAAAGAAAAAAATACAAATCAAAAAGCAGTAAAGTTACTAGGTTTGAGAAGTATGGAAATATCTATCATTATTCCTTTATTTTTTTTCTCTTTTCCATGGGACCTATAACACTAAGGGTCTCCACCGAAAAAAGATGGTCCACTGCAATTAGAATTAATTCAGGGAGGGTTTAGTAAAGGGACTATGGGCAAAATGTAGGAGAACCTCCTTAAAGAGGGCAGTCAGTACTCTGGGGCTTGTAAAACAGGGAACTGTTATCACCCCAAGCCCAAAGAGATGAGGGGAGGTACCAGAACCTGGAAGAAGAGGGTCAGACAGAGAAGGCTGCCTTGAAAGGAGCAGTGACCTTCAGTTGAGAGACACAGCCAGCTCCAGGGAGGGAGAAAGGGAAATAAACATGCTGATCTTACTCCCTTCTATTCCTCCTCTCTTCTGCCAGGCCTCCTCCTCCCATTAGCCAAACTCATCAGGAAGCTAGAAGAAATAAAATCCTGCTGATGGAATCCATACAGGTCAGTATCCCAAAACAGAGTAGGGTGAAAAAGGGTAGAATACAGATCTGGACAGGCAAAAGGAACATATCCAGCCCAATCTTTCTTTGGTTCTTTCTACTGAGATTTCAATATTGGGTACAAAATAGGAGTCAGTCTTTTTTGTACCCCTGAATTAAGATTCTATGATATTAAAAAATATTTTGAAGAACTGCAGGTATGTGTCCACTCAGTACAACATGAAATATTAAGCCAATTTTGTTTTTTGTTGCTTTTCTTATTGTATTCTGAGCTCTTCAGTGGGATAGAGGACAGAAGCAGTAAGATCATGGGCTCAATTTCCTTTTGAGCACGTTAGTGCAACGAGAGAAACAAAAAAAAAAATCATATGTACTCTTAGTGACAAATGGAGTCATAACAAAGAATAGTATTGGTAGCTGAAGGCTATAATGTTAGCCTTTTGAAAGCTCTAAAATTTCTTCTGATAACAGCATCATCTGTGGGTGTTGTCGTTTTGTGTTGTCGAACTGACTCTGAAACAGGCGCCTGTATATAGCAAGCTGTGTTTTCCGTTTGGATGTCTTCCTGTTTGCCCTTGTTTGAAATAAAGATCTAGAGGAGGTGTCAAGCACAGTAGCTTATGTAACCAGAAACTTAAGACATTCAGAAAATGACCGACACTTTTTAGGTTACAGGGTTTACAAGAAAGATTATTGAAATAAACAATAACTTTCAATTTACCTGGCTCCAAGTTGAGGCATCCTTGGTCCTGTACTGAATGCTATATTTCAGTCTTAGAAAACTCTTAATACTTGGGTTGATCCATGCCAATTTTAAGATACTAGACAGTTCCTCTGAGCTTCTCACTGATAAATTATGTGGTGGATTGGGCTTCACTGAAGAATAAAACCATGTTTTACTTTTAAAACTTCATATACAAACTCAAATATACTCTTTTTATTTTTCTTTATTTCACAATACTCATTTATTCTTACCAAATGAACTATTACTCGGAAAACAATGCTATGTCATACTATTATAATGAAAATGAGGGTTTCTAAAGAAACTAAAGTTTTCCTTGTCAGTTTATTCCATTTGTTAATCTTTTCAGGTTAGGATATCAACAAATAATTAAATGTTTATATCAAATTTAAAAAAAAAATAATGCCATATAATGGTTGATAACTGGACAAATACTAGACCATAACACTCAAAATGAAAATAGTTGTGAGTGTGGGATTATGGATATTTTTCTTTCTTCCAAATTATTTTTAATACTGTTGATAAAGTGGCTTTGTAAAAAAAACAACTAAGATAATTAAATGCTTAATTCTATAGTAATTAAAATCTGAAAACTATTTTAAATTATGAGCAGTGCATTGTCTAATAAATTCCCGAATTCAAGGTTATAATTACCTTTATCTATAGGATCAAAATTGATATGATCTGATGTAATGTTCCCAAGGGCATTCTCTGCTTCTACCCAGACTTCAATGTTGACAAAATATACAGGAGAATAATCAAGAGTACATGAGTTGGGGGTGTCACGCTGTGCTTTACAATCAGCAAACTTCTCGGTTGCCCTAAATATAAAATTAGAGTCAGTCATTAAAGACAGACTTTTAAAAATTGGAGTAGAAAAGGTTACCTGAAAAGGGTCTGATGAGATCAAGATTGTTGCAACAAAGTTTGGAATAGACTATTCATCACTAATGGTAAGTACAATTTCTTAAAGATCAATGAGCCTCTCTTTAAAACCAAATTTTATATATATATATATATATATATATATATATATATCTTAAGACATAAATTTTCAAATTTTTACTTTAAGAATTTGCATTTTAGAATTTCATGATCTATCCTCCTGTCCTCTCCAAACATTATTTTAATCTATTTCCTTGTGCTCCTAGCACTGTTTCCTCCCCCTCCTGAAACAGAATCCTTACTATACCAGAAATGTCTTTCTCTAAGCATAATATGCTTTTTTTCTAAGCATATTATGCTAGGAGTGATAAGACTACAGGGATAAGAATTTCCATCACCCTAGAAAATCCGCTCAGTTTCTTTCCAGTCAACCCTACACCACCTCTGACAACCATTATTCTAATTTTGAGCAACATAAAAAGCTTCAAGTGATATTACTATATTTAGTCACTGTGTATAAACTGTATCCCAAGTAAAATATTTATACACATACACTATTTTTAAAAATGGAAGGATAAATAAAAAGTAACCTTGGAGTGGAGGGAATAGGTAAATCTTAAAAGCAGCTATTGGTTTATTGTGGGATAAAGCAATTTGATAATTACATTGGTGGTTGGGAGCTACAGTTTTCAGCATAGGCCAAAGGAGATGTAGATGAAAATTAAGTAAAAAAAATAAAAAAAAAATTAAGTAAAAACTTGTAATCCAGATTTCAAATTGGAAGTATCAGTAGGAGTTCATGATATTTTAAAAAAACAAACATTTCCTTGCTCTTTCCACTGAAAAAGCCTAGACACAATGATAACCCAGTAGCAATGAGTTCCCCTAGCACCCAGATTGTAGTTTCTATTTCACACTAAATGGAGCAGGGCTCCCTGGAAAATGGTTGATTAATGTAGAACCTGGAACGTCATGTCATATCAGAAATCAAGAAAACTATCAACAACTAATGAAGTCGTGTCAAGAGGATGCAGCAACCAACCACTGGCCAAAGATGGAACAATTTAAGCAGCAATAAAAATAATGACTATAATGCACTGAAACACATCAAGTATGTTTAAATGTGAATTCATAATAAGGGGAAAACCACTTGGTATTCACCTTTGGGGGATGCTAGGAAACTAACTCATTATAAAACTGGTTAATAAAGGGAAAATAGTAACACTATTTGGCCTTTCTTATATGAATGGTACCTCAGGGTAACCAACAGTTGATGAAGGGAAGTTTTTCTTAAATATTTCAGGTAAAAAACAGAAAAGGAAATGATAAAATACCACCACTTTGTAACTCATACAGAAATAATGATCACTGATCCCTGCTCAAATTTTTAGATAAAAAAATCAACAGAAAGTAACAACATGATTAAATCTCAGAAACAGTCTACTGAGTCACAAAATCCTTTCACAAAAGAGAACATGATGTATGATTCCATTTGTAAGACATTTTGGAACATGCAAAAATAACCTATGGTGAAGATAAGCAATTACTTTATGGGGGTGGAATGGTGGCAGGGAATGACTGGAAAAGGCATGAGGGAACTTTTTGGGGAAGCTGGTTAATGTTCAATATCTTAAAAGGAGTTTGATTTACACAGGTGTATGCACTTGTCAAAATTCATTGATTGATACACTTAAGATCTGTGCATTTCACTATATGTAAATTTTACCTAAAAAACTTTGTAAACAAATATTGAACTCTAGCTAATGATATAAATGCTGAAAAGTGTTTAGGGATTTGGCATACTAATGTCAGCAATTCACTTTGAAATGCATTAAAAAAAAAGATGATTGATAGATGGAGAGAAGGATGATAGGTAAATTTATATGTGATAAAACAAATGTAGTAAAATATTAATTGTAAAATCCAGGTGGTGGGTATATACATAAAATTTACTTTACTGTAAAATTCTTTTCACTTTTCTATGTTTGGAAAAAACAACAATCTTCCCAAAACAACAAAAAAAAACTAATGAGGAATTTTACGTTGAATGGATCAGCCTGACACTAGTGAAACCACTGCTTAATCTTAGTATCAGGTATTATGTGTCTCCTGATGGAAGTACATACCACTTTAATGAAATCTTTCTGGAGAAAAAAAAAAAAATCAAAACTGAATCTAATCAAGTTTCTAGATCTAATGGCAATTTTTAGGAAATACAGGGGCAGAGGAATATGTTAAACAATGTATAACATATAACAACTAAATTGCAAGGAAAAAGAACCTGTAGATCAAGGGAGACTCACAAGATGTATTAGCAATCTGTAATGTATGCAGCTTATATTAAAAAAATTATGACAGATAGCTGGGGAAATCCGAATATTTACTGAATATTTGAGGATATTAAAGTACTTTAAATTATACCAAGGTATAATATGGTATTGTGGTTCTGTAAGTCCTTATCTTTTAGAGATATGTACTGAAATATTTAAGAAGCCCAGGTGGAGCAACAGTTAAGTGCTCAACTGCTAAGTAAAGGTTGGCAGTTCGAACCCACCCAGAGGCTCCTCAGGAGAAAGACTTAAAGAGATCTGCTTCCTTAAAGATTACAGCCTAAGAAACCCTATGGGGGCAGTTCTACTCTGTCACATGCAGTTGCTACGTGTGAAAAATAGACTCTACAGCACTTAACAACAGTAACACTTGAAATATTTATGGATGAAGTGATATGATGCCTGGGATTTTCTTCAAAATAATCTAGGAGGGGGTATATATGAAATAAGACTGGCCATGAGCTGATAATTATTGAAGATGGGTGATGGGTGCATGGAGATTGATTATACTATTCTTTCTACTTTTAGGTATGTTTGGAATGTTCTAAAATATAAAATTAAATGAAATGTTCAAAAATTTGCATTTACTATTACTTCTTGACAAAATAAAAACCTCAGCAAAAATGATTAATTTAATAAATCCAAAATACAATAAACTTAAAATAACCTACCATTCAGATTTTAAAGTATAGTTTGTTTCCAGATATGTTTTCCTTCCAGGATCCCACTGACACATCATATTCTTTTCCTCATTCACAATACAATTCAAATTTTTAGGTTTTTCTGGAGGCACTAGAAGAGAATAATTAGCATTAAAAAAAACTCAAAAAGTTTTATATGTGTCACAAGACATTTACAACCTAAAATTAGATACAAAACACAAACCCAAACAAAAAGTATGGACACAATGAAATACTGGTTACTAAGAAGTTAATTTATTTTCTATACACAAACTTATTTTTTGGTAGTAATATGCATTTTGCATCATAATTGCCATTTACTAGTTTGTTTCAAATTAATTTTCTAGAAAAAATTAATCTTCATTGATATCTACATGATAGTATCAACTGATTTGCCCATTAAGCTTATTTTTTTTTTAAAATTTACATGTGTTAATAAGTAGCAATTAAGTAGAAGCAAAAATGATTGAGTTATATTTATCTTCCTATTGCTTCCCAAACTCTGCTGGAGGGAAAACAAATGTCAAAATTGTAAAGTTTGGGTGATCCACAAATTTGATAATATACTTTTGGACCATAGAAAGTTTACTATATTTACTTAGACTTATAAGAAGGATTTTCTCCAGTATTTACTGACCTTCAGCTGCTTTACATGTGCAATTTCTCAGTAATTAAGGGGATACTGAAAGTTACTATGAACATATTCACAGGTTTCAATCAAGAGTACTTTTCTGGGGGGGCCTTAGGTATGGAATATTTTTCTAGAAAACTGACAGATACCTGATTTTCAAGGACAGATATAAAGCTTAATGTTACTCTCTAGATTTCTGTATATTAATAATGCAAATGTAGTTTCTAATTCTAAGCTTTTTTTTAATGACTGTGTCCAAGAGTCACTGAGGCCACAAATCATTGCCTTTCATAAAGACCACACATGACAATGAAAATGTAGTTTACTAGTCATGATAAAGTCTCAAATAAGACCCCCACAAAAAAAAAAACAAAAAAACTCACAGCCTGAAATTATTGTGATTCCATAAACATTTTGCTCAATTTGTCCAAATGCATAAATGTTGCAAGTGAGCTGAGTATTTAATGAAGATACATCTCTAAAGGTGACACTAGATGCTGTTCTGTTTATGACAGTATATTGTTCCTTAGGAACAATAGCATGGTTTGTTTTCCAAAAAATGTTATCAGCATTTACAGCAAAATTATCCATACATTTTTCCTTTAGTACACAAACTGCAGTGAAATTAGAACCAAGTTGTACAACCGGAGATTCAGGGCTGATATGACCACATGGATCTAGAAGAACACCTAAGAAGGAACAATAGAACACATTAAAAAAGGGTACAAAATGATATCTGGCTGGTAGCCAGTCACACAAAAAGAAGAAAATACACAACTGGAAACAAATACCGACAGAATTTAATGCCTAAATTTGTAAAGAAATACACAAATTATAAAACAAACGGAGCTGGGTTAAGAAAAACCTATTCAGGCTTCAGCCCATAGTATATTATTCTAATTTTACTTTAGAAAACACAAACTACCTGCAACATGATTCATACTTGCCCCATCACCTATCTTGCCCCTTGATTTGACCCAGGATCAAAACTAAATTGTCCTCCTCTCCAGTCCTGAATGCTGTTGAGAGGTGGAACTGAGAGGGGGCAGAGATAGACAATATACGTCGTTCACACTGGACAACAAAGGAAACAGCAATGGAGAAATAAAAAAACAAGACTAGAACAAGATAGGCAAATACATTAGTTTTAACAATAAATGTATGGGATAAAATCTCAATTAAAAAACAAAGAATCAGATTGGATAAAAATAACAAAATACAAATAGATGCTTTAACTATCACCTACTTCATGTTGATAAGATCTAAATCCCTATCTTCAGCCCAAACAGCTCATGTTTCCAATAGCCTATTAGACATATATCCACCGGAGAGAGCCCATAGGTACCTTAAACTGAACATGTCTAAAACTAAACGTATCACAGTTCCTCTCAAACTTATTCTTTCTTTTAATTTCTCTACCTCTATGAACAGCACCACTCCCATCCAGTCATTTAGGCCAGATACTTTATAGTCACCTTCAAAATCTCCAATTAGCCTCTGCCAGCCCCCAATTTACAATACTGCACCAAGTTTCACTGGTTATATATTCTTAATATCACATTATCAACTCTTTCTCAACAACCCTATTCTGATTGTTAAAGCTCAGACCATCATATTAAACCACAGTCAGACCTCCCTCTAGTTTATCTTATATACTGCTACCAGAGTTACTGGCTCTAACATGATTATGGTATTTCCCTGTTTTAAATTATTGAATGGCTTTCTCTTATCATCAAGATAATGTATCACCATATCAAGTATTTGGCATGACACTATTCTCTTTCTCTAGCCTCACTGTCCACAAACTTAAGGCATCTTTCCCCAGGGAATCCCATTTACCAGTAAGTCCTTGGATCCCATCCTATTTGAGCTACAGTTTCCTCACTTGGAAAATTAAGTTAACAGTAACTATCTTGAAAGGTTAATATTAAAAATTACTTATGGTAAATACCTAGTACAATGCCTACTGCTCAGTAAGCTTCCAATAAATGGTAGCCTATCATCATCATTACTACTCTCTAGAAATAGGTAATCTAGTTACACTAATAAGGTCTGGAAGGTTCTGTTAGGAGTGACTGACTGGTTCTAGCAGTTAAGGTGAAAGGCAACGAATCACAGAATCTGAAACTGAAAAGAACCTTGAAGATTACTTAGTTCAACCCTTTATTTTACAGATAAAGAAAGCTGACATACTTTTACATACAAAAAAAAAAACCCAAAAATCAAACCCGTTATTGTCTAGTTGATTCTGACTCATAGTCACCCTACAGGACAGAGTAGAACTGCTCCATCAGGTTTCCGAGGAGTGGTTGGTAGATTCAAACCGCCAACTTTTGGTCAGCAGCCGAGCTCTTAACCACTGCACCACCAGGGCTCCACCTTCACATAGTCAACCTCAGTTAACAGCTAGACTCTTCCAATTTCCCTCTTGGTCCAAGCCAGAGGGCCCAAAGTTAAAACTATCTTCAAAAGTTAAACAATTATTTTCTTACTCCATCTTACAGACTGAATTATGTCCCTGAAAAATGTGTGTCAACTTGGCTAGACCTGATTCCCAGTATTATTTGACTGTCCACCATTTTGTCCTCTGATATGATTTTCCTACGTGTTGTAAATCCTACCTCTATGATGTTAATGAGGCAGGATTAGAGGCAGTTACGTTAGTGAGGCAGGACTCAATTGACGAGATTAGACTGCATCTTGAAACAACCTCTTTTGAGATATAAAAGAGAGAAGCAAGGAGAGAAGCAAGCAGAGAGACAGGGGGACCTCATACCACCAAGAAGCAGCGCTGGGAGCAGAGTGCATCCTTTGGACCTGGGGTTCCTGTGCTGAGAAGCTCCTAGACAAGGCAGGAATTGAAGACAAGGGCCTTCCCCCAGAGCCGTCAGGGAGAGAAAGCCTTCCCCAGGAGCTGATGCCCTGAATTCAGACTTCTAGCCTCCTGAACTATGAAAGAATAAACTGTGCTTTGTGAAAGCCATCCACTTGTGGTATTTCTGTTACAGCAGTACAAGATAACTAAGACACTCCATATCTCTCAAATCCTGCAGGAGGAATTAAAATGTCTTTGCAATCAAAACTGTACTCCCAAATGGAACCCTGGGATCTCTCATAGGACCCATCAGGCTCAGAGTCGGAAGGTGAGTTTTTTTGTTTCAAGACTTATAATGTGCTTATCAATATCACTTCATGTGGTGGCACAGTGGTTAAGAGCTCAGCTGCTAAACGAAAGGCTGGTAGTTTGAACCACCAGCCACTGTGTGGGAGAAAGATGTGGCGGTCTGCTTCCATAAAGTTACAGCCTTGGAAACGCTATGAGGCAGTCCTACTCTCCTACAGGGTCAGTATGAGTTGAAATCAGCCTGATGGCAATGGGTCTGGTTTGGTTTATTTTAAGTCTCAGTGTATACATCACTCTCAATTTCCAATAGTATGGAACTTCATCTTGTGGAGGATCTCTGCTAGTAACTTACCCTATGACACTGGGCCGGTACTTACAACTCTCAGACCTCACTTTATTCCTTGGTAAAATCATTCCTGTGTCACTTTCCTTAAAGTAATTATAGGGAAGAGCAACAAGTTAAAAAAAAAAAGAAAAAAAAAATGGCATAGTAGCACTTACGAAAATACCTTCTGTGGGGGGTGGGGGAAAGGAAGCACAGCTGGCGTGTGTTATTTGTGTAAAAATATGGTAATCTAGTTTTATAGGGTTTGATTACTCACACGTATAAAAATACTGGCTAAGAAGAAAGTCAACCAAGACGGAGGTCCTGAGTACTATGCTGAAGTGTCCTGAGCTCAGTGTCCTTATGGCAGATTGTATATTCCAAAGATGGCCACATTTTTATATTTATTCCATCCCACCTTGTCTTCTTAAAATGAGATTGATACTCCTTCCACTATGAGGCTGGGGTCTATATTCCCTCTCCTAAGATCTGTGTAGGTGCTTGTGTCTGCTCCAGCCAATCCAGTGTGCTATGTGACTTCCAAGGCTAGGTCATTAAAATATAGCTTCCGACTAGACTAGATTTCTTTGCCTCATGGGATTTGTCCTTGGAACCCAATCACATATTGTAAAGAAGCCAGGGCCACATGGAAAGGCCACATGTGGGCGTTCTGGCCAACAGCCCCAGCAAAGCCCTCAGTCTACAGCCAACATTAACACCAGATACATAAGTGAATGAGCCTTCAGATGATTGTAGCCCGAAGTCTGAATCTTCCAGCCAAGGGCCCAGACATCATAAAGCAAAGATGAAACAGTCTGGCTGTGCTTGTCTGTACTCTGGATCCACACAAACCACGAGAGATAGTAATTATTGTTGTTTTAATGTTAAAACCAACAACTTGAGGGAAGACATAGAAGACACACTTACCAAATTTCATGAACCTTACCTATAGATTCAGTGGTTAGGAAAATAAATGCGGCTTGCACTACCCTAGTCCACAAAGTCAACATCTTGTATAGAGATTCCTATAAAAGATAATTAACATTATTTTTAATATTTTTTCTCTCAAATACACACATACATTAAGATACAATTTCTAAAGCTCTTGTTTCCATTATGTAGTTGTTTTCTAAAAGCTACTAAAATTCCTATGAGAATGCAGAAAACAAGTCTTCAGAATGTTTTCCTTTATTCCCACTGAAGTTATGGTTATGTAAAACACTGCCAGAAAACATAATTTATACTTTAAAGTGAATTAAAAGAGCACCAAGAAAGTAAGAAAACTAAAAAATGACTATAAATTTTTAAAATTAGATGAAATTATGTATTACAACTTGGTACTCAATTACCAACATTGTGACTCAGCAGATTATTAGTAGATAAATATTTTTAAAAATATAACTCAGACTCTTAAGGTAATACAAAATATTATGAAGGACACACTTCATGTCTCTGTGCAGCTAAAGTTCACCTTCTATCCTTAAAAATGATGTGGGGGAATGATTTCTTGGATGGATGTCCTCTTATTGTTAGAAATATTTAAATTTGTTAGCTTTCTATGGCATGGAACATTAACTCTGAAACTACCATGCACATTAACTTAATGACTATTTTACTTGATGTGGGACACAAAACAATCTTATGTAATATTCTAATTCAGATACATGAAACTGAAAACATAACTCCAATTTTTTTATAGATATCATGTAATCAGAACATACCAATTACCCCAAATAAGTAATATCTAACAATTATCTTCAGATATGCAAAATAATTTTTAAAACAATTTATAATCAATATGAATATCAGTACAACAGAAAAATTCCCTTTAGAGTATAATATTCATTTTTTAACACAACCAAGAAGCATCTAAAATATATATATAATTCCCTAATATCATCAAATACCAAATCAATGTTCAAATTTTCTTGTTTCATAAATTTGTTTTAAACAACTGGTTTGTTTGTATCAGGACCCAAATTCAGTTCACATGCTGCATTTGAGTGATTTATCTCATCTGTTTTAATCTACAGGTTCCCCTTTCCTTTTTCTCCTGACATCTATTTTTTGAAAGAATTGGGTCAGTTGTCCTGTAGAAATTCTCACATTCTAAATTTTGCTGACTGTTATCTCTATGGTGTCATTCATGTTCTCCCTACATGCGGGGCTTTTTAAAATCATAGGTATGCCTGGGTTCCACCTAACAAACCTAAATCTCTGGGGGTAGGGTCCTGGCATGTGTATAGTTTCAAAAGCTCCTCAGGTGATTCTAATACATAGCTACGTGAGACGCACTGGTCCAAAGATTATTTTTATCCACTGACGTTTTTCACACAATGAGATTTTAAAAATATAAAAAACCTGCATGTAATAACTTCAGGTTATAGGAAAAAATGTAACAAACACAGTCCCATTCTTCTCCTCCAGTCCCAGTTTAAGTGCTATTTTCTCACTCACATCTTATGCTTCTATATGTATGTGTCGCTAAATAACACAGTATTTAAATTTATTCTAGGAATACAAAGATGGTTTAATATTACAAAAATCTATTGATGTGGCAGTGAGGTCTGCAGCCAGATAATGCTCTGGGGATGGTGGAATCTATAAATTCTATAAAAGAAAACAAAATCCTCGTAACTGGACCAATAAACAACATCATAATAAATAGAAAAAAGACTGAAGTTGTCAAGGATTTCATTCTACTCGGATCTGCAATCAATACTCATGGAAGCAGCAGTCAAGAAATCAAAAGACCCATTGCACTGGGCAACTCTGCTGCAAAAGACCTCTTTAAAGTGTTAAAAAGCAAAGATGTCACCTTGAAGACTAAGGTACACCTGACCCAAGTCATGGTGCTTTCAATCACTTCATACGCACGCAGAAGCTGGACAACGTATAGGGAAGACCAAAGAAGAACCGACACCTTTGAATTGTGGTGCTGGCGAAGAATACTGAATATACCATGGACTGCCAAAAGAACAAGCAAATCTGTCTTGGAAGAAGTACAACCAGAGTGCTCCTTAGAAGCAAGGATGGTGAGACTTCATCTCACATACTTTGGACATGTTATCAGGAGGGACCAGTCCCTAGAGAAGGACATCATGCTTGGTAAAGCAGAGGGTCAGTGAAAAAGAGGAAGACCCTCAACGAAACGGATTGACACAATGGCTGCAACCATGGGCTCAAGCATAACAATGTTTGTGAGGATGGTGCAGGACCGGGCAGTGTTTCATTCTGTTGTATGTAGGGTCGCTATGAGTCAGAACTGACTCAACGGCACCTAACAACAACATAAATTTGTTATTATATGTACTGCTTCTTTAAAAAAAAAACTGTTATCGTAGCTAACTATATTAACAGATTAAATGCATAAAAGCATACGATATACCAAGAATCCAGAAAAAGCATTCATGATTAAACCCTCGACCCTCACCCCTTTTTAGGGGGAAAAAACCCACCAACAAATTAAGAAAAGAGAACTTATTTAACTTTATAAGGGGAGCCTACCAAAAACAGAGTAAGTATTGTACCCATACTGAATGAGGAAACATTACATTAAGAATGAGGGTTCAAAACCCAACTGACGTTCAACTCCTCAAAATGACTTTTGACTTTGGCTGACTAAATATAAGCTATTCGTACTAATCAGAGAGAATCATTTAGAAACTAACATTCAATTATTTTGAGGTGCCCTTTCAATCAGTTGGCATTATATCTGTACCTTAAAATCAGAAAGAAACTAATCAATAAAGACATGTTTGGCAGGGAGAGATGCCAATATTAACTGGGAGAAGAATGCTTGGGTGAAGGATAACCTTACACATGGTCAGTTCATTAGTGGATTATTTTCAAGTTAAGATAACTAAACAACCTTGTAACTGTGGGGTTTCAGATAACACGGACTCCCTTTATTAGTTTCAAAATTATTAGAGATGGAAGAGATAAAAGAAACTAGTCAAGCCAGGGATAGAAAATATGGGGCACAAATGCTGCCACTCTCTTTTTACATGGCAAACATATCAAGTATTTACTGTGTCCTTTCCCACGGAGACCAGATATGCTTCCAGAATCCTCAACGAAGTGCTCTAGGGAGCTATTTGCAATCAATTAAAGTCAGCACATGAAATGAAGCATATGTGCCATTTTTGACCTTTTACTGAGGAACCTGAGGGCCAGAAAAGTAGTGCTACTTCCTGAAACTCTAATAGCTAAAGAATTAGAATTCTCTTTTTTTTTCTAACTTGAATAAACTAGTGATAGGGAGGAACTATTTATTCAGAATATGGACAAAATCTCAAGTTTCTCATTATAGAGAAGTTAAACACACAGTCAAAATAAATCAGTGGTGGCACACGGATCAGAAACCAGGTTTCAATTTCCAATTTAATCCTGTTTATTATGTGAAACTTTGCACTATTAGTAAATACTGAGATTGAAAACAACTTTAGAGAGACAAATTTCTACATAGCAAAAATGACCATCAAAAAAAAAACCAAACCTACTGCCATCAAGCCAATTCCGATTCATAGCAACCCTATATGGCAGAGTAGAACTGCCCCATAGGGTTTCCATAGCTGCAAATCTTTACGGAAGCAGACTGCCACATCTTTTTCCCAAGCAGCAGCTGGTGGGTTCAAACTGCCTGCCTTCTGGTAAGCAGCTGAGCACGTTTACCACTGTACCACTAGGGCTCTGTAAAAATAGTCATAAGTAACTTCAAAAGATACTTGATGAAATGTAAAAATTTTTTTACTTCATAGCATGATCAAAGATATTCCCCAATATATGAAGACTACCCACAAGTCACTAAAAAATACCAATACTTAGTAAGAATATGGGCAATAGGATTTGAATAAGCAATTTATAGAAAATACAAGTAATTCAAACATATGAAAAGACACTGTCAACCTCACTCATTATAAAAGACACAAAACTACCACAACAGGAATGCAAAATGATACAGCCACTGTGGAAAACAATTTGATAGTTCCCTGCTAACTCAGCATTCCCACTCCTAAACAGAGGCTGACTAGCCAAGAGGTAAGGTAAGCACAGTGCTTACTTTGCTTACTGTGCTTACTAGATCATCTGTGATGAACCATTTCATTACTTTTTCAGCACATCAAAGATTCTGCTTCTAGGTATGGCTGGCATCTGTCTCTCTCCCAACCTCACAGCACTTTACTACAGAATCAAAGCCTCCTTTCATATTTACAATCCCTGACATGGGCGGATGACGCAGTAAGCAAGGTAAGCATGGGCTTACTTGTGCTTACTTATTAATCTGTGGTGAACATCTCTGATGTGGTGAAATTGTTCACTACAGATTAGTAAGTAAGCACAAGTAAGCCTATGCTTACCTTGCTTATTGGATTATCTGACCCTGCTTCTAAGTATATACCCAAAAGAAATGAAAATGTCTACATAAAATACCTATATTCAAATATTCATAGCAGCTTATTTTATAATAGCCCCATACTGCAAACAACCACTTTGTGTTGCTTATCCTACCTTTACTGTTTTATTTTTCTCCATGGCACTTTCTAAAATGGGTTGGGGAACTTTGCCTGTAAGGGGTTAGATAGTAAACATTTTAGGCTTTCTGGCCCTTATAGTCTATTGCAACTAGTCAACTCTGCTGTTGAACTGCAAAAGCAGTCATAGACAATATGTAAACAAATGGGCACGGCTGCATTCCAATAACCAAGCAACAGGACAGATTCGGTCTGCAGGCCGTTGTTTGCCAACCCCTGTTCTAAAATACCGCACAATTTACTTACTTTGCTTATTACCTGCGTCCCCAAAATAGAATGTAAGCATACGAGATACAAAATTTTGTCCATTTTGTTTCTTGCTATATTCCTAGCATCTAGAATCATGCCTGGCATAATAAACACTCAGCAGCAAGTATTTGCTGGATAAATTACCTTCATTACACTGAAAAGGTGCATAATACATCAGTGTATGCATATACTATAATTTAACCAGTCCCTTTAACATTTAAGTGTTTCCAATTTTTGTGATT